CACTCCCACCGCTGATAAACCCCTGCTGCCAGCCCACACACGGCTCCCCTCATGCACACCCGTGTGGGGGGGGTGGTGCTGCCAGCCTCTCTGCCTATTGACCGCACCAGCAGCGTCCTGACCACCAATTGGCAGAGCGACCACGAGACGAGACGGCAGCATGATGGAGCTAGCGGTGCATGGATTGACATGTGTGCACGCCCCTGCTTTGCATAATGGTCCAGCTGCCCCCAACACGTCTAAAATGGGGTTTTATGCCTCTGAAAAGTGATGGGCTCTGGGGACACCTGCCCTCAGTGCTACACCCACCTCTGCAATGGCAGAAGTATCCACATCGTGGGCTATTTATTTTCACAAACAGCCCATAGCAGGGGCCTTACTGTTTGTACTTTATAGGAAGGAACAAAAAACCATTCACGGAAGGTAGAGAAGATCTGGGAGTTGAGATCTGCTATATCTACCCTCATTACTACACCATTCTTCCCACAACTACCTTGGTATAAGGCCATTGAAAACGTGGAGTTAATACAGTTAAACTGGAGTAATTGAAGAAAAACCTTTAGCTCATCCTATTTCTTCTCATCACTTCACAGTAAGAGAAATATTGCTGTACAATTAATTTTAAAGGAAGTAGCATTACATCAATTTTGACAAAACAATCCCTTAAGTATGGTTGAAACCAGATGGTCTCGCTGGAAGCCCATAACTTACAAATACCTTGGATGAAACTCTCAGTTCTCACGTGCAGTTGCATGACGCAGAGCTCCTGAACACCTTACCCTGTCCAGCCTTCCCCCTAAACCTGACGCTACCAAGCCTGTGCATGTTTACCAAGTTTTCCAGCAACAAAAATCTGGATACAAAATTTCATTAAAACATTTTTTTTTTTTTTTTAGAAATTAAAGCATTGCTATCCATTATTTTATGAATGCCAAGATTTATATAAGAGATCATTTTTTCATTACATATTATTCCACTGAAGAAACACTGACCACTTGCACTTATTTTCCTGCCAAGACAGTTCAAACCTAGAACTGCAAAAGGAATTAAAATACCAAATCAGTCTGTGCTCTGTAAATCTAATATCTTGATTTCAAGACACTTCACAGCAGAATGTAAGAAGTGAACTGTGCTAATTAATAGATTTTCATCCTACACAAGTTTTTTTGAACAAAATTTTAACAGAGATAGTGATTTTAAAGAAAAGCATATCTTCTTTTCAGTAATGGATATAGCTTAAGAAAAACCTCACCAAACTCTTCCTTTCAGACACCAGAACCCTCCTTAGCTCCAATAGATATAGCAAACTTTAAGCACACTACAGACTCTGTACTTTTTCCCTTTTAAAACATCAGGGCTTTTTAAAAGTACATCTTAGACCACCAGAACAACTACACTACTTTTAATTGTTAAAATTAGTTCTGACTAAATAGAACCATCAACTGCAACGCTCAATAACAACATCAATGTGACTACAATAATAATCACTTTACTAGGGTCTCAGATAGAAACAGGTTTAAGAGATATGGGCTCTTTATATGGGCTTTTCCCATAATTAAACTCAGACTGCCTGTGTCTGTCTGGAGAGTCAGCCTTGAACTACAAGCTGCTGGGGGAAATGTATCCTAGGTGAGAAGGGGCAATCAAAGCAGTCAAGTAATTTAGGTTGGGGGTTCAGGTCAGTAACTTTGCCCATTACTAGAGGAAGCGCTTTAACATTCAAGCTAGATCAGTCTTGAAGCCGAACTGCTTGGTGCAAACTACAAAATAAATTACAACCTATAACTTTGGAATTAAATGTGTTATTCAGTCTTCTGGCACAAAGAGTTGGAACACAAGAATAGAAACTAGGCAAGCTGATGCAGGTATCTGCTCAGAGCACAAGTAGTAAATATCGGGTATTGAAGTTTTCCCCCTTGAGGAGGAAGTCCCTAAGCAGAAGGGTCAAAAAAAAAAAAAAAAAAAAAAAAAACAGTAGCTCCCATGAGATCAGAGGAGGACTTTGCTGGGAGACTTGCCATCCAAAGCTTCAGAAAGTCGATTTCATATTGTGCATTGATGTGGAGTAAATAAAATTGATAAAGATGTATATACCAGAAAGTTATCTAAACACAAAATAGACATATGAAAGGGATTAGTCTGTTTTTGCAATTGGAGAGGGGAATGAAGAGGAATACTAACAGTCTTATCAGCTTGTTTATATTGAATTAAGATACTTCAACTCTCCTATTGTAATATTTGCTATCAGCAATTATAATTTAGTATTTTCATTATATCAAAACAGTTTATATTCATACATAGACATCCTTATAAAAACCAAAGCTTTCAAGACCATAACAGGGATGCTTCTGGCTTCCAGCATTTAACAGTGCTGCAAATGCCTGCAGAAAATTTGAATTTGCAGAATTTACACAAACTTAAAACCAGTGAGAGCTGTATTGATGATGATGCAAGCTGGCAAAAACAACAAAAAATACTTCAGAGCAAGTGTAATATTTTATTATGTTCCAAAGTTTTCAGTGAACTTTTATTGGGTTCATTGTAACTTCAAGAAAGCTGGACAGAAAAGCCTTCATTGACTATTCCTGGAAATGAATCAGCTCTCTCAAGGAGAGAGAGCACATACATGTTCTCTGTTGGTACAATAACAGACAACCTGACATCACTATTAAAGGACAAATAATGCCGACTGCATAGCAACCTGGCAGCTATTTCAGGAGGCAGCTGGGACGTTTGGTCAAACAAACTAGTGAGCCTGGCAAATTTTGATAAGCCTTAAAAATAAGATGCAGGTAATTTAGACACTTTTTTAGATCTGGCTCCAAATATTGCAAATATGGAGCATAATTTCTGAGAAGCCCAAATGAGGAGATAAAAATGCTAAAGAGTCTTGTAAGTAAACAGTAACGTGCTCTCTAGCAAATAGCTGGCCTATTGATTTCAGGCTTTTATGTCAAACAAGAACACAGACAAATATGTAAAATATTAACTACTAGCAAGAGGTTGAAACAGTCAGTACCCAAACTCAGGGGTAAAATGGATTCATAATCACTTAACATATATATGTATATATATACACACACAAAAATATATACTTTATTACATATTACATTTTATTAAATAGAAAAATATTTGTCTGTAAAATAAAATGTATTTGTTAATAAAAAATCTTGCAACTTCTGAAATATTCATATTAGCCTTAAATCAAGTACTTCTCTCCCAGACATCTTATACCTGTTATCTCTATAGACTTTAAGTTCCAGCATTCAACTGTACATAAACACATCAGATTCTCACAGAAGAGAGCTACACAACCTTACCTCTGACAAGATGAGATGACAAGACACTTCTGACAAGATGATTTTTTTTTCTTTTTTTGCTTTAATCCCACTGAAAAAAATAGTGTGTCAATCTAAGTTATACAATGCCCGGTCACTTTTGCTTTATCTTTGACACATGGCATATTTTAAAAGCAAATAGTATATTTAAGGTAGAAGGCATTTATGCACCTGTTTATAGACATAAATTATATTAAAATTTTAAATTCTTTCAAGTATTTTTAGGGACAAATAACATCAGCAATTGCTAACCCCACAGATCTGAACACTTGAAATTATAATTTCACCCATCACTTCACAGTGGTTAGCTTTAAAAAAGGTATATATCACATTTTACTGCTGA